TCGGAGGGAAGAGCAGTCCATAAGTATGTGTTTGATGGTTAGAGGTGATGAATTGCAGAAGTGGCAGATGGGTTGGTTTTCTTTAGATATGATATGATTGTGAGTGAAAAAAGTGTGACCTATCCTGAGACGCGCAATTTGGACTTCACATGATCTTGATTTGTGGTTAGATGTTCTTGGATATGGCATGGGGGCTCTACGGAGACGATTCTGTTCACTTGTGCTCCATTCTTGTTCCCACGATTTTGTGATAAGTTCGCACATAGCTTTTTTATATTGATAGATAGATTGATAGATAAAAATTCAGAACGTGCGTTAAAAATTCAGCATGAAGCTGAAAATTTCAATACAGAGGGATAAAGCTCATGTGAACACAACTTTCTCCCGAGAGATATGCTGTTCGGTGCAACACTATAGTTACGACCATTCAGGAAGGCAACTGCAGACGCGTTGACGCAGACAAACAACATATCGACGGTGAAACTACCAAACCACGTATCTCGGTTTGCGACGTCGCAGACTTCCTGTCATACTTATTTTTTAAATGAAAAACTACTTAACATCCAGTCTTGAAAATTTCTGTGATTTTCCCTCTTTGTGCGGAGAAAATATCGTGAAAATTTCAAGGAATGATATTGATTTGGTCTACTTCAAAAAAATAAAATGTGAGCGTAGATTTTTAAACACCGCAAACGAGATACGTGGTTTGGTAGTTTCACCGTCGATATCTCTTTGAGGGAAAATTGTGCTCATATGAGCTTTTTCCCTCTTTTTTGAGATTTTCAGCTTTATGCTGAATTTTTCACGCGCGTTGGCTAAAAAAACCCAACATACTGAGAAGGAAATTCGCTCAAATCAAGAAGCTTGGCTCTTGATTCGAGCAAAAATCCAATTAATAAAGAGTATTTTTTCTTTTCAATTTTTTTAAGAGTCTTGACTCGGGAACCCCTCTCCCAGTAAATGTTGATTATCAATGCCTCGTTAGAAAGAAAAGTAGAAGGAGGAAAAAATCTCGAAAGAAACATAGGGGAAAATCGACCGAAGGAAAATGCTAAAAACTGGATTTTACTCTCTTTTTTCCACCGTTGACGTTTTTGACGTTTGGGTTGTATGTCCCTGATGCCCTGAAATACATTTCGTCAGCTTCCGGCCAAAGTATCACAAGCGCAATGCCACGTTTCGAAATTTCCGCCGCCGTTTTACATTTTTACAGAAAAATTGTCGGTCGAGTCTGTTCGAAAATATCACTGAATTCTATCGGCAGCCCGAGGAAAATTCAGTGTTTTCGGACGGCTTCACTGAAACTATAAAGTAGCTTGGCTCGAGCATGGTGATTCTTGAATTTGCCGCCAAGATTTTTTTTTATCTTGCTTTAAGCTGAATTTTTCTTGATACCAGAAAAATTTGGGTTAAGCAATAAAGTAGTCAATATTAACCAGCAAAATTTTTGATTCAAGAAGAAATATACTTCTGCTTGGCGGCGAATTTAAGATTCTTCTCTTTTCAGTGTTCGCGGAAACATTTCCTCTGTTAAAAAATAAAATGGCGCCGTAAATTTTTAAGCGCCGTATTGCGCTTGTGACACTCTGGCCGGAAGGTGACGATTTCTCGTCTTTCTCGTTAACAGCCTTCCGCGATTTCAAGAAATATTTCACGGAAATGTCTTACCTTTTGCGCATTTCTTTCATTTCATACAAGTTGATGAGTGGATCCGAGCATTCAAGTCACCCTTATTTGGACGTATTTCTACCAAACAGACCTACGTGAAGGTGAGAAATATGGGGTGTGCTCGTTAGTTCTCTGGCCGTAAGAGTGAATGAGAATAATAAAGCGCCAGTGACGTCAGCGGCAATGAAAAAGCGGGGGAGCCTCGGGGGATCGTCCTCGGGGCGCTTTAACTCATGAGCCCTGTCCACAAGGCTCTCTTGCCATGCCCGCGGCTCATGAGTTCCGCATTCAGTTGGCACATAGGTCTGTTTGATAGAATGTAAAATCCCGCTTTTCCAATTCTTCAAAAGGAATCACGCCCACTTTTACATTGCTTCTTATGCAGCTTTCTAGAGCACACCCCATATCGACGGTGAAACTACCAAACCACGTATCTCGGTTTGCGACGTCGCAGAATTCCTGTCATACTTTATTTTTTAAGTAAAAAGCTACTTAACGTCCAGTCTTGAAAATTTCCGTGATTTTTCCTCTTCGTGCGGAGAAAATTCTGTGAAAATTTCAAGGAATGATATTGATTTGGTCTACTTCAAAAAAATAAAATGTGAGCGGAGATTTTTAAACACCGCAAACGAGATACGTGGTTTGGTAGTTTCACCGTCGATATTTCTCACCTCCACATAGGTCTGTTTGGTAGAAATACGTCCATTTGATTTTTAGAATGGGTTTAACGTTTCGAATAAAACATTTTGCCGGAAAAGTATTTAAAATTATATCTTTGAACCATCTGGCACATCTTCAGCTGTCAGGGAAGTTCACCAAAATGTGTCAGGTAAATCAGGGAAATTCAGTTTCTAAATTCGGTGGCAATCCTGTGAAACGTCTCGTCTCGTCTCGTCGGCGGGAGTTGATGCACCGAATTTTCATTCAGCGGTGTCGCGGCCGCGTCGC